GTGATTAAAATTTTATTTTATTGTCGCTATTGTTAGACACTTTTGGGAAGATTAGTATTTTCCCAATATTATCTCAAAATACATTTATATTTTTACCTAGTTCAACATCGAGAACGTGACCCGACACAGAATGGTGGAAAAATTCCACGCGGCCGGAGTGCGGGCCATATTCGCCGGTCATTATCACCGCAACGCCGGCGGCCGTTACAAAAACATGGAGCTCATAGTGACGTCGGCTATTGGCGCCCAATCGCCACCCCCTCAGCAAAATGCCAACTCTGGCTACCGAGTGGTCACCGTTGATGAAGATAAAATCAGTCACAAATACGTGGACATTAAAGTATCGAGCTCAAATTCAGTGTTTGATTTTAACCTTGTTCGTTTTGGTTTGTTAATTGTTCTAGCATTTCTTATTAAGAAGTTTGTAATGAATTAAAAATTAAATAGATTGTAAAAAATATGATTATAACTTTATTAATTGTTGTGTTTTACCTTTATTATATGGTACTACTGTATAAATATTATTATACCTACAAAAACATGCTAATACAGTATTTTGCCATTTAATTTGTTTCGCAATGTTTTATTTATAAGTATTTTTCAAAGTTAAAAATTTTAATTTAATTGAATTCTATTGTAATTAATATACATTGTATATATATATAGCAATATAATTATATCATACCTATATAATTATATATATATATATATATAATACAGCGCAAGTATTTAAACTTAATTTTGTATAACTAATCACGATTGTCTTTAATCATGATCATGTCAACAATGATTAACCAATTGTCAACAACCCTTATGAGTATTTAAATGGCAGCCGAGACCAGATGTCCGCCGTCGGCCACCAGAGCCGTACCGGTGATGAATGAGGACTCGTCTGAAGCCAAATACAAGACCGCGTGTGCGATGTCTGAGCCCTCGCCGTATCGGCCGACCGGATACAGTTTAGCGTAATTGTCGTAAAACGCCTGGGGCATTTTTGTCTTAATTGCACCAGGACTATGAGTAACATTAATATGTTGCTTTAATTGAAATATGTTTGCAGTGTTTTTAAGTTTGCATTTTTAATTTATAAATGGCATAATTAGAGCGTTTTTGTAAAAATATATGCATGTAGATTTATCATAATAACATCATGGTAATTATGTTGGCAGTAGTTTTCTAATAATAAACGGTAAATTTTATCTCAATAATATTCTGTCAATAAGGTTTATTTATAATAATTAAAAGTTAATAAATAATTTTAAAGAAATATTATTGTTTTACAAAACTGGTAATCCCTACCTCATTAAATATGATGTAATTAAAGGTTGGTCTAAATAAATTAAGTAAATACTTACTCAACACTATTAACGCGTATACCTTTGGGTCCCAACTCCGCGGCCATGCATTTGGTGAACATATCCAGCGCTGTCTTCGACATAATATATGCCGACATATTTGGTCGCTATTTCTCATAGTAATTGATTGACAATTAATTATTAAATTAAATTAATTATATTATAATTAAAAATATACATTCTTTATAAATAACACATTCAGTAGTTATTAAAAATAAAGTTAAATGCACTTACGTTACGAACTCTAAGAACGCTACAAATATTAATGATATTTCCTTTAGTTTTCTCCAAATGTTTGACACAAATATGGGTTAAGAAGACAACGGAATTCAAGTTTGCTTTCATTATATCTATAAAGCCAGAGGCGTAACCCTTATCTTCAAAGCTCAACGGGGAGCCAATGGCCGCGTTATTGACCACAATATCTATTTTGCCGAAAGTAGTGATAGTTGTGTCCACCAGTCGCTGAAGGTCTTCATCACTGGTCACGTCTGCCACCACTTCCAGCGCTTTCAAGCCATCGGGCGATACGTCGAGACACTGTTTGGCCACTTCTGACACTCGCCCGGCGTTACGTCCCGTCACCACAACATTGGCTCCCG